GGTGTGGCAGCCCTGGCGGGTTGGTCCCCTTGTCCGAGATCAATGGTTTTCTTGTTGCTGTTACGAAGGCTCGGTAAGAGTTGTGAAACTGCAAAATGCTTGTAAGCCAGATTGCTTTGAAGATGCAGCTCAAGTACAGAACTTCCCTTTCGCCAAGCCACAAGCAGGCATGAGTGCCACAGTCAACCGAACGAGTGTCCTACGACTTAATATCTGGGAAGCAATCGAAGCTGCAAAGGACAACGTTGCGCGTGCCAACACAGGAACTCATGCTGAGCAAGCAACCCACCGGTCAACTCAGCCAATGCAGCTTGTACCAACAGCGTGGCCTCATGTCGAAGGCGAAGGTGGTTTTGGCACAGGTGACTACATCCTTTGGAATTGTCGGTGACCCGTTGGCCGTCACTTCTGTGACGCCAGTAAGTTACACCCTTTTGGGTTTCTGCGCCGTGAGCACTCTGCCTGATGACTACCAACGTCGTTTCCGAGAGGCAGAGGCGCTGACATCACGGCAGCTCAAGGTTTCAAAGCGTCAACGCTTCAATGTGTTCTCTCATGATAAGGACTCAGCATTCCAAGGGATCCCAGCCTCCACGACCCAACTCAAAGACATCTTGGCATCAATGTTTCCACATTCACGGCTCAATGTCTTCAACGGTTCAAATCTCCACGTTTCAGATCCCTAACGTTTCAATTGTCAAGGACGCAAACATTCCAACGATTCAAGCTTCCAGTGTCTCAACAGTCCACGGGTGTGAAAGTTTGCACGCGTCAAGACTGCAACCTTCGAAGCCTCAAGGTTATTTCACGGATGAATGCTGCAACGTCTCAAGCCAGCAACGTCTCCACTGTCAAGGACACAAGCGTTTCAACGTTCCAAGCTTCCAGTGTCTCGACGGTCCATGGCTGTGGTTTGCACATGTCAAGACTGCAACCCTTCCAAGTTCCAAGGTTTCTGCGCGCTGCAGTGGTTTCCCGGCTCGACGCTTCAACATTTCAATTTGCCAACGTTTCAATGGCAAAACGTCGCAACAAGTCGCAACTCGCAAGGGGGCAAAGCTTGACAGGAGCAGGGTCCAAGCTTCTCAACTTTTCAAGGTTTAGCAACTGAACCTCACAATGTTTCACGGGCGCAAAGGAGCAAGTGCTGGTTCTGCAACATGGCCGTGTGTCTGCAACCGGGCAAGCGTCACAACTTCGCATAGCACGACCAACTGACGTTCGGACTTTACATGGTTACATGGGTGCGCTAGTGTAAACACTTTGGACACCAACGCCGCAACGTTCCAGAGCTCCAAGGTCACGTGGTTGAAAAGTGGAGGCCCTAACCTTCCAACACATAGAGTTCAAAGTTGCACCACGTCACCGTTTCCAAGCCCAGCGTTTCAATGTCGCAAGGCGAGGATGTTACACGCTGTCAAGGAGCGGGCTTGCCAATGGTGCAAGGCTCCAGCAACTCGACGCAAGATTTTCACACACTTCCAACATTTCAACCTTCCAAGGTGGCACAACTGAATACCAAAGCAAGCAATTTCAAGGCATCAACGTTTCAACAAGTCAAAGATCACAGCTTCCCAAAGCTGAAGCCGTTCACTACGTCAACGTTGCATGGGTGCCAAAGGGAGGGCATTTCTGGGCTCCAATGCCTCAACCGTTCAAGATACAATCGTTGCAACAGTCAAGCAACCAGTGAAAAAGTATCCAAGCATCAAGCGCCTCAACGTCTCCAAGTCACGCAACCGCGTTTCAAGCATTCATCGTGTCAGGCAAGCAAGACTCAACAACGTGGCAAGATGTCAGTTTCTTAGTGACTCCAGGCAAGCTCTAACTTTCTCTTTATGCTGAGGTCCGTGACGAGTTGGGTTCTTTGACCAAAAAAAGCTGGCTTTCGTGCTGATAATGTGGCAAGTGCTGATTCTGGCTGTGGACCACCTTGTCCGCGTCCGGGCATTGCGTTCGTCGCCCGTTGCTTTTCGTTGTGTCCGCCCCAGCTGGGCGGAGCTGATCACTGTCAGAGAGACTCTTGGTGCCAAGTGGCGAGGTGCGCTCTAGATCTGCCCGTGGGCTGATCGGCGTTGCTGTACCAGACACCCACTCCCACAGATTCGGGTTGACACACTGCTTATTCTTGAGTCACATCTGGAGAAGTGCAGGTAGTCATTAAGTGAGGAAACCTTAGCTCCTAGCAAGTCGTGCAAAAGGAAATTGAAAATTGGAAATCAAGCTTCACTCTAGTGACTTTAGAAGGGCCGCGACAACCAACAGCGAGTTGAGGGGGGGACCAAAAGGACTTTGCGCCACGAGCAGGCCCAGGAGCTGGCGTCCCAGTTCCCGTCCCATCTGCAACCGTAGCTTCGTTGCGCACGGTAGGTTGCAGATGCCGCGTGCCCCGAGCCTCTTCAGGACAAGCGCCCCTCCGGCCCTCTTCCCGCGAACTCCAACGATGGCGCTTGCTGACTCAAGTATTTTCATGCTTGTTCCTAGCATGTGCACACACACACACCCGCGCACGCGCATACGCACGCACCCACCCACACCACACGCACGCACGCACGCACGCACGCACGCACCCACCCACCCACACACACACACACACACGCACGCACGCACGCACGCACGCAGGCAGGCACGCACCCACACACACACACGTGCACACGTGCCCACCCGCGCGCGCACGCACGCACGCCCGCCGCCCCCGCCCGCCCGCCCGCCCGCCCGCCCGCCCGCCGCCCTTTCCCCCCGCCGCGCCCGCGCACCCCCCCGCCCGCCGCCGCCCGCCGCCGCCCGCCCGCCCGCCCCCGCCCGCCCGCCCGCCCGCCCCGCGCTCCGCCCGCCCCCCGCCGCCCCGACCCGCGCCCGACCTCCCGCGCCCGCCCGACCCGCCCGCGCCGCGCCCGCCCGCGCCCGCAGCCACGCGCCCCGCGCCCGGCGCGACGCCCGCCCGCGCCGCGCCCGACGCCCTCCGCGCCACGCGCGCAGCAGCAGCCCCGCGCCCGTCGCGCCGCGACCGCTTCGCGCGCCAGCGCCCCGCGCGCCCGCGCCCCGCCCCCGCCCCCCCCGCCCCCCGCCCCCGCCCCCGCCCCCGCCCCGCCCCCGCCCCCGCCCCCCCGCCCGCCCCCCCCACCCCGCCCCGCCCCGCCCCGCCCCCGCCCCCCCCGCCCCCGCCCCGCCCCGCCGCCCCCGCCCCCGCCCCCGCCCCACCCCCCCGCCCCCGCCCCCGCCCCCGCCTCCCGCCCCGCCTCCCGCCCCCGCCCCCGCCCCGCCCCCCGCCCCCCCCCCGCCCCCGCCCCGCCCCCGCGCCCCGCGGCCCGCGCCCCGCCCCGCGCCCCGCGCCCCGCGGCCCCGCGCCCCCCGCGCCCCCGGCCCCGCGCCCCGCGCCCGACCCGCGCCTCCGCCCCCGCCCCGCCGCCCCCGCCGCCGGCGTCGCTCCCGCCCGCCCGCACACACACGCACGTGCCTGCCCACCGCGCGCACGCACGCACGCGCGCGCACGCGCCCTCGGCGCGCCCACCTGCGCCCGCACCGGCACCCGCACGCGCACGGGTTTGCACAGGCACATGCGGACGCACAGGCACACGCACAGGCACAGCACCCACACAGCATGCAAACATAATCCGCTCCCCCTATTAATGAATGACCCGCATTAATCATAAATGCAAATCCGGGGCCCGAGACCAGATTTCCACTCCGCACAATTGATTTTCCATTGCGCCAATACTAAACCAATACTAAAGTCTTGGAATCCTTATTAGGGGGCACTTTTAGCAAGCTTCCAGCCTCACTTTTCAACAGGTGGGTTCCTCAATTCCCCAAAAGGTTGCTTCCCCAAAAGCTGGCTTCTCAAAAGGTTGGGTTCTTTTGGTGGGTTTTTTCAAGGTTGTTCTTGACTCTGTCTAGCTGCGACTGTCTCTCTCCCGTACATGCTGGCTAATTAACCTGTCTGGCTGCAAACAAACAACCAGTAAACTGGTAAACAATTAGAATGATACATCAAATTTCCTTATTAAACCGCTTACTCGCGGACCTTACAATTCAATCCATTTCCTCCAAATCCTATGTGAGCCCTCACATTATTGCAAAAGCAAAAAACCCAACCCCAAAAAACCACAAAAACCAAAAAAAAACATATTTGGGGGGGGGGGGGCGATTTATTTATAATGGGGGGGGGGCATATTTATTAATAGGGGAAGAGATTATATGTATATATACATATGTATAAATTCACTCGTGTATACATATATATATATATATATATACAAGTGGGCATATTCATGCACAAAAGTGGAGTTCCCCAGGCCTCACGCTGCACATCCAAAGTCATGTTGGAGGGCTGGTGGTGCAGTTGATCCTTTCCTCACTCCTAGGTACTCAATTCAGGTTGCAACAGGCACGGGCAGAATGCTCGCCAAGCAAATGCCACGGCCTTGCCCTTTCGTCGGCCTGGCTTGGGGCTGGCCCGAGTTTGACACTGCTCAAAAGCTAAGGCACCTTCATCTACCTTTGAAGCGATTGGTTCGCGCTGAAATGGTGTGTCCAGCGCCATGTTTTTTGTGGGGCGGCAAGCTGGGCTGCACAGACACCAGCTTGACAAACTTTGCTGCTACTTCGGCCGCTGCATTTTTAAGAAGCCGCGCTCCGTCTGACACCGTTAACTCGAGCCCAGACGACGCTGTCGCGGATGCCAGTTTTGTACAGAAGCCAGGCTGTCTGGCCGGCTTGTTTCAAGATCATTCATTTGGCGCCGGAAGAGTGCCAGAGTCCGTAGGAAGCAGGGTATAAAGCCTTCCTGCTTCGGCTTGGCGCGATGCAATCCTTGCGTGGGCAAATCTCCAATGTTTCCGCTCTGGTCCCTTTGCCTTGATCAACTGTGCGCCCATGCATCTGCCCGGACTCTTCTAGACCTTCGTGAAGGCTTCGAAACAAAACTGCGCGCGTTGGCAATTCAGGTTGCCCAGACACAAGCACCTGCTGATCTGCCCACAACCCCTGCACTGCACGAGGCGCCGTTGGACTCTGGGTCTTGGGCGCCACAACAAGTTCAGGCTGCCATGCAGGCCATGCTCTTCATCCGTTTTCCCAGTGCTTCACATTGACGCCAAAGACGGGAAAGACGGACCGCAGTGCCTGCGAGGCGCCAGAGCGTTCGTGGGCGAGAACGTCTGGCTCCTTCTCAGGCTCACGATGCCCATGGGCCGAAAAGTGCGGGCTGCCGTGCGATCTGTGCACAGGTGACCCGCTACAAGGCAGAACCTCCGGTTCATTTCAACACGGAGGCAGCAGCTTGTTTCGGCCTCGCTTGCGTGCACGCCCAGATGTTTCCTCATGGAGTAACGAAGGCACTTGCTGAGTTGCGGGTTTATATGGGTTTATGGCTGTCCCCTGTTAGTTTTGTGTCGTACGTCGATTCGGGCAGGTGAAGGCTACCAGCGCGGCCCTGTTGCTTCTACCTTTTCGCCGCGGCCTCGTCACTGATCCGCAAAGGAGAGGCAGCCGTGGAATTCCATCAACAGGAAGGAAGAAAGGGAGAGAAGGGGCCAAGGGCGGGAATAGGAGGTGTTGATCATCGATTTTCTCTTTTTTGTCAAGTGGTTTTAAGCCCAGTCTAAAGTGATGGCGTTTGAGTGGCAAGGGCTTGAACTCATAGCTTGGTTGACTTCCATGTGCTTGCCCAGGGGCACGCCATCTGCTCCAGGCTGTGAAGGGTTGGATGTTGGAGTGCGTGGTTTTCGTGAGCAGCTTCATATTTTGCAGATTGCAGGCTTTAGCACGGCGGCTGTGTCTTCGTCGGCTTACACAGGCCGGACAGGAGGTGACTCGGAATGTCTGATAGATCTTGGCTCGCAGGAGCTGCAGCGGTGCCCCCACCGGTGGTCTGGGGCCTGAGCGCGAGGCACGAGGCGCGAGGCTGAGACGTGCCAAAATCGGTGCTCAGGTTGGAGCAGCCCCGAGCGCTGTGGTGGAGGATTCGGATGACGACCTGGCAGGACGGGCATGGGAGCGCGGAAGGCCGTTCAACGAAGCGCCCCCGGCCCAGGCTGGGATAAGTGAACATCGAGGCACCTGCATGTGTGTTAGCCTGGAGCCGGTTCAGACTCTTTCGCCGTGGTTCACTTACCTTTGCACTGTACACCCCAACATGGGAACCTGCATGCGCATTGCCGGCCTCGCAGCTGGCTCAACGTAGAACACAGACACCAAGACTTCCCCCAGCTTTTTCAGCCAACCTCGGAAACCGCCCGCGCGCACCGCGAGACTCCCAGCCCAAGCCTTCCTTGTCACAGCCGCAGCCATGGCCTTCTCCAAGCTGGACCAGACATCAGCAGCTCAAGTCAAGATGGAGCTCTTGGCGGCTCAGGTCTGGGCACGTCTTCGGTGTGTTGGATGAATCCCAGTACACGTTTCTACACGTTTCTGCTTTTACAAGCTTGCCAGAAGCGCATCACCCAACTGAGCCGGGCGCCCAGCCGAGCCAGTGAGCTGAAGGGGCTTCAAGATGTGATGTGTGCCAGAGCGGTTGATTCACATCGGCTCAAGGAGTGGCAGGTAAAACTTCACCAAGTTTTCACAGCACGACCATTCTGCCATTCCAGCTGCACCTGTTTAACCCAGAGTCCATCCCTCCTTCTACCGCCCACCTCCCACTGCGATACTGCGCCCATGGCGGTGTGGGAAGTCATTGGCACGAAGGGCATCTTGGCCCGTACCATGAAGGCAGGACCGAACTCCAGATCCAGTTTCACGTGGCGAGAGACATATGAAACGCGCACGCAGGACACCTCCTCCGAGGCACTAGGCGAACGCTTGGCGACTGGTGCGTTGGTGCTGGAACTGGCCAAGGCAGACTCAGGGGGGCTGAGACCCATGCGAATGGCTGACCCTTTGCCCGGGATGACTGCGCGTTAGCTTAGGGTTGCCGCACATGGCCAAATGTCAAATTGCCTTGGAAGGATAACCCTAGGTTCGGTCAAGACATCAGAGGCTTTGGCAGTTGTCTCCTGTCCTTTACGGGTCCCGCATATTCCCATTTGCCTTTTGCAGGGCTCAGGCCCCAAAAGCCACCGAGCACTCTTTGCCATGCAAAAGCTTTGGCTCCTGCTGGCAAGTGGTCCGCTCCTTTGCTTGCCGACCCGACCTCGACCCTGCAGACGAGGGCTGGTAACAAGGCAGGACATCCAGTTGGCTTGGCTGTTGGAGCGTGGTTCTTTTGTGAAAATGTTTGAAAGTCCTGTTCGTGAGCGTGTTGACAATTGAATCTGGGGCCCCCAAAATTGGTTTTCCTTTGGGTTGCCATTAAACCAAACTGAAAAGGGTACCCTCAAAAATGCACGCTCCAAGTTGGTATTATGCGCTCGAAAGCCCTTCAGGCAGTTTTTCAGTGAGAACCTGCTGTCTTACAGGAGCAAGCGACGCTTGTCAACTTGGTTTGGGCCTCCGGTTGTCTCAGATAGAGACATCAAAGCTTATGTCAATCTTGTGCTCGCAGATCCAAACAGTCAAGTGAACCACCCAGCTGTGCCAGACTTCATGGAGAGGGAGGTTTATTTCGTCGTAGTGCGTTTTGTGCTGCAGATGCTGCATTATGCAGTGGGAGTAGTTGATGAGCGAGCTCTTTTTGGTCAGACCTTGCACATGCTTCAGTATCAAAGCAAAGAGCAGCGGCTGCGACGTTCCAAGCTGAACTTGACACCTGACATGGTGGACTTTGCTATGCGAGAAGTGATCGTGCCTTCGTCTCGAGACAGGCCAGTACTTAACCCGCAGACCGACCAAATAATCTACAAGAATGCCGTAAAATTTGCGCTGCGCCTTGTCATCGACATGATCTCGTCCGTGCGCTTGGCCGGGTGCGGGCTAAAGATCACTGTCAACATCGAGGCGGACCCCGTGACTGCAAGGAAGAGACTCAGAGCGAGCAGTTTGAATCTCGCCCCCTTCGAGAAGTCGTGTGAGCCTTTGGTGGAGGAATTGCGTGCGCAGCGGAACGTCCCTCTGCCTGGCCGCTTGCAGGAGGCAAGAGCATGCATTTGCCTTTGGCGCGCTCACCTGGGTAAAACGAGCTCGCCATGACTGTCCTAAATTTGGAATCCATGTTTTTTGTTTTCTGAACTGTAAGAAATGCTAAACAGCTTCAGTTGTAGTTGCCCTAAGTTATGAAGCAAACAAGCCAGGCCCTCTACAAGAACCTGTTGCGCGTTCTCGCCTTCAGTGCGACCGCTGCATTAGAATCTTCCCGACTTGACGTCTTTGGCGTCTCTGTTGACCCCACCTTTGGCCGGTGAGATCTGCTTTTAAAGGCTTATGTGAAAGCTGAACATGAAGTCAGGCATGGAGCCTTGCCAGACAACGGGCTTTAGCCGCGGCCAGATGTTCTCACTCGCGCTCGGTGCAAAAATGGGTGCTTGAAGTTCAAGTATCAGGTGCGGCCAAAGAGCTGGCGATGGCAGGGAAACCCCTCCAAAGCAGCATTGGCATTCGGGGTGTTTTAGAAAAACAACTTTTCCAAGCAGAAAAAGCAGGGCTCCTTAAAAGATACACTTTGCACATTTGAAACATGGCTTTTTCCACCAAAATAAAAAGAAGCCACCATTTGCAAGGCAATGTTCAGGTGTATAATGTAAGGATCCCTGAAAAGGCATGAAAGGCCCTAAGGCTTTTGGCGTACGGGGTGTGCTTGTCGCAGGAAGGCGAGCGGCTTCAGTACCGACTCCTGGAGGGACGAGGGCCCGCCAGCGGCTGGGTGAGCCTGGCAGTGCAAGGGAAGCCGCACCTTCGCTCGAATCGCGACTCGCGAATCGCGTTCGAGGTCGATGGTGTTCTCGTATGGCTGTTGTCAAAACCGTTTGGGGATCAATTTTTGGGGTATTGGCGAATGGTGATTCACCACCCATTTTAGAACCTATTTTAGTGGTTGGATTGGTTGATGTTCACGGATGTTCACTGGGGGTACGGGATTTTGACCCATGGCCATATCACCGCCATGACCGCCTATTTCATGGGATATGAGTTTTGGGTTGGAAATCCATTCGATCGGGTAGTTTGCGATGGGATGGTAGCATGGCCAGCTCTGGCCTTTTTCGGTCAGGATTCACAGAGGTGAGGGAGGGGCTCAGGCCCATGCCTTAGCCGGCTGAGGTTGCTGACGCGCTTCGAGAAGCTCTGGGTGGCCTGTGGTGGGGCTGGAAAGGGAGGGCTTCTGGTCCGAGAAGGTGCGGGATCCACCGAAAGCCACAGTGACATGCGGCTTCGACATGGCTGCGGGTCAAAACCGTTTGGGGATCAACCATTTTGGGGGATTGGTGAATTCGCCACCCATTTTAGAGCCTATTTTAGTGGTTGGATTGGTCGATGTTTTATGGGGGTACGATTTGGCTTTGACCCATGGCCAAATGGTCTCACGGGATATTGTTGCCCCACGTGAAGAGGGTCACCCGCCTGCGCAAGCTCCGGACCTTGGCTTAGGTCCTTGCCCCGGTTTTGCTGGGTCAGTGGTGCCAGTGTAGCTGGCAGTTCCTGAATGGGTAGGGCTGGGGAGATCCACATGAAATTTTGGGCTGTCTCAAGCTGTGGCCGGCTGAGCCTGGTGGATTTGTAGGCCCAAGCGTGCACTCGTGATGTAAGCCGAAACGAGAAGGGCGCTCAGACGCTCTCTGTATTCTTTTGTGGTCCCTGGCTCCCTGAGTAGCTGGTGATGCAGGGCGCGAGCTCACTTCCTCAGCGCTGGGTGAGAGATTGGCGCCCCTTGGCACGCAAGCAACTCCTCGATTTACTTGTCGCAGCTTTCCCAAAGACTCCTCGATTTGTGGCCTCCAAGAGTGACCTGACCATTCTGTTGGAGGGAGCCATTGAAATCAAGTGCCCAAAAACGGGTTCTCTCTTTTTTCCTTGCCACTGCCTCGCCGTTTGCGCCCAGGACCGGGGCCCTGGTCAAGGAGCTGGAGCTCAGTGACGGTCGGCTTCACTACGCGCTGCTGAGCGGTCAAGGGCCTGCCCAGGGATGGGTGAGCACGCAGGCGAGACAAGAAAACACAGGAGTTTGCAGCTGAGTGTTTGTCAGGTTGCGGGCAAGGACTTGATGCAAAGAAGCTCGCAGGCCTCGGAGAGAAAAAAAGAAAATGACGACGGGGGCGGTGGACTGGGATGGCAGGTGGATGGTCTGGAGGATTGCCCAGACCCCAGGCCATCCCCGAAACAGAAGCTGCGGATCTTGGCTTTGGCAGGCAGGGCAGGGAGGCTGTAAAGAGATGGATGGCCGTGGGTCAAAATCCAAATCGTGCCCCCAGTGAACATCCCAATCGTCACCAAAATAGGCTCTAAAACGGGTGGTGCACCTACCCCAAAATGGTACCATTGGCTTTGACCCACAGCCGGATCACTTCCACGTTTGCGACCTGGTCTCATGACACCTGCCGCTGCTTGCTCCCAGGAAGCATCTCGTGCAAAGAGCTTTTGCGCTACCAGTGTGGTCAACTGGCCGCTGCTTTGGGCAAGGATGGTCAGGGCGGAGAATGGCATGCAGTGACCTTAGCGCGAGCGGAACTGGTGGGTCGCCAGGATGACGCCGATTGGACCTACGCTGAGGGTACACTCGAACATCCTTGGGACCTTGTGAAGATCTCTGACTTCGAGAAGGCCGTGGCTAAGAGCGCCCTGGCCATCATTTCAATGGCCTGAGACAAGTAAAACGAACTGCAATGGTGTGGACGTATCGCATGCCGTGAGTCAGGAAAACAGCTGTTCTCGTGGTATATGGATATCTACCATTGCAACAAGGACTGTGGGAACTAAGTCTGTGGCTTAGTTGGCCATGAGTGACGAGGACCGGCCGGTCATAGAGAAGCAGTTCGACCCGGAGGTTGACGTGGAATCAGAGCCATGGCTTGCAGCGAAATGTTAGGAGCAGGGGAGTCCCCTAAAACAGAGGATTTCCTTGCTAGTAGGGGAGACCCCTCATTCGTGTGGTCCTGAGGTCCCACACCTCGATGGCTGCCGCTTGCTTTTTTGCTCTTGAGCACTGCTTTCGAGGTGGACATCCCGCAAAAGGTGGCGGAGCTACGGAAAGTGATCGATGAGGAAGGGCCTTTCGACGTGTTGCTGGGCTTTTCTCAAGGCTGGGGCCAGTCCCAAGTCTTGGGAATGTTGGGCCGAATAAAAACGCGAGGCTGCATCATGATCCACTACCTGATCGGGCACATCTGGCAGGAATCTGCGGCATTGCCATGGAAGCTGAGCATTTTCTTCGAAGGACCGAGAATTTGCGCATGCCATGTGCCCATTGCGCATGTTGACTGGAACTTATGACGCAAATCACTGGTTTTTGAAACTGCGACGGACAGATTGTCTGGGCCTCGGGCTTTTCGTTGGGGGCAGGCATGCACATCCGAGACCGCCGCTACTCGCACCTATTTCCATCTCCCTTGCCACATCCATCCATCCATGTCTTCGGGAAATCCTCGCCATACTACGACTACGCGCGAGAGGGCTGGTGCAGCGATCGGCGAGTGGAAGAGTATTATGCCGACCCCCTGGTGCTCACGCACGAGGAAGGCCACAATTTTCCTTCGAAGAAAGATATCTACAGCCGCATTTCCAGCGAGGTGAAGCGCATCATTTGACCGGTTGGGCTGGGGAAGTGAAAGCAAAGCAATGGGATGGCCAGCGCATGGATTCGTCCCCTAGACCATGTGGAGATCGCAATCAGATCGGGGCGAGACGGCTGAACGACGAGACGGCGCAGCCCAGACAAGCTCCATCCCTCTGCCGCGGAAAGACTTCAAGAAGGGAAAAAATGGAACCTGGCATCACATGGCCACAGTACAGTGAGGGCTTGGTGACTTGGAGTGTAGTGCCCTTGTGCCATGGCCATGGTTACAAAACGCCACGTCCAAGCAACGAGTTTCTCTGCACGAAGCCGCCCGTCATTCGTTTGGGTCCTTCGTCTCGGGCTGTGAGGCCGAGAGCTGTCGGAGGCAAGAGGAAACGGCGGCGAATGTGCCGAGGCGCACGGCGCACGCGTGGGCCGCGTCGATCCGTGCGTCGTGAGCCGCGTCCTGTGGGATCGCGCCTGTGGCAGGCGGAGGCCCAGGATTTGAGAGAGGAGCTCTTTGTCTCGGCCTATGCTGTTTTTTTGTTTCTTTTTTTCTGCCTGAGGGTGGCAAGTTTTTTGGGTTGGGTTGAAGGGAAGGCAAAGGGAAACTAACCATGTGGAGACCCATGTTGCTTTCTGCCTTTGCTCATTTGCCAGTGTCGAGTCACAGAGTGCGACGGAAGAATGGTATATTTCGGCTCGAGAAACCGGTTAAGCCGGGAAGCTGGGGCGCAGCCTTGAACAGCCTTGATACTCAACGTGTTTGCAAGGTCTTGCCGTTGCCATAGATGGCCTGGGTGATCAAATTTTGATTCAAGCAAGCATTGCTTGGCCCAGCGGCCGTGTCAACATGGGCGACCATGCAGGCAGGGACCAAGATGGGTCAACGCAAGTCCCACCAAGAAGCTCAGAGCTGCCCACCACCTTCCACCACCGTTGCCTCATTCCGTCCTGAAAAACGTGCCAGACCGGTCTGCTCTCTTTGGAACTGATTTGGAGGCTGTACGAGTTAGGGGGGCCCTTTTGAAAGTCCGTAGTTTTCAGCTGATTTGGGACGTCTGGGGATCATGCCAGAAAATTCAAGCGGGCCTGCCCATTTGAGCAGCATTTCTTCCAGCAAGGTGCTAAATCAACAGCCTTTGCACCAAACCCAATTCTCACTTAAACCACTGTCCTATCACACGATGGTCTCAAAGAGACTCAAACATTCCTTTGGCATGCTACCACCATGAAAGCCCATAGCACACTAGAACCAGATCACACAAGTGCCTTCGCGGGCCTTTTGGGAGTTCCCCGGAAGCTAAAACCCATCACCTCGCAAACGGTGGATTGGCGCACCCTTTGAAGGGCTTGGGTGTGTCGGATCGCTTGCGGGCGATTGAAGCCGGGCAGAAGCGACAGTGATGGTTCCCGTTTTTCAGATTTCGATGAAGACAATGGGAAGACCTCAGAAAGACGACAGGAAGACCATGGCAAGACTACGGCAAGACCACAGGAAGACTACGGGAAGACCGTAGGAAGACTATGGGAAGACGACAGAAAGACTATGGAAGACGACGCTTACCAGAAGACTACAGGAAGACTGCAATTTGGGAACCCTTCACATGGCGGGTGAATCTTGCCCCTGGAAACATGCCAAAGAGGGGTGCATGGATCTAATTCAAAGAGCCAAAATGGCAAAAAAAAGCAGAATGAATGACACATCAACCTGATGCAATTCAAAGCGTTTCTCAGCAACAATCGGACAACTTGGGCAGTTGGAGGTGCCCCCCATGCCCGGCCCACACTGCCAACGAAACTGTATTCCCAGTTCAATAGATTTGGAAAGAATACCCGTGGCAATCATGATCATTCATTTGCATCACATCGGTTCAAGGATCTGCGATGCGCCGCTAAGTGGTGCTAAACCGACGTCTTCCGGCGAGCGTCGTCCTCCAAAGCCAAGACACCATGTTGGTCGCGTCCTTGTTTGCCTCGCCTGGGTACTTCGCAACGACCCATTCGACCCATTCAGGGGGGTAGTTCTCTATGTTGGTGTGGGTCAAAAATATTCACCAGAAGGATATGGGCTGCAGGTGTTTGTCCTCCTTGTTCATTTACCAGGGCAACCCATTTGGGGGTTATCCTATTTTTGACCCACAACCATGTGTTCTTGGTTTTGGGATAGGTGCACCACCCATTTCAGAACATATTTTAGTGGGGATTGGGATGTTCACTGGGGCTATCGAATTTTGACCCACAACCATGGTGTCCTTTGGCGAATCTGAGCTACGAAATGGCCCAGCGCACGAATGTCCTTCGGCGCGAGCGCGCGAGGCCTGGAGCTGCTGCAGCGGGAGCTGGAGGTGAAGCGCCAGAGCTGCGAGAAGCTGCGCCACCACCTGGCCGCCACCAGGCCGGGCTCGGTCACGGAGCTCCGAGCTCCGGATGTGAGCGAGCGGCTGGGAGCGGACGCCACGAGCAAACGGGGGGGGGGGGGGGTTTTGTGCAAGGCGCGCAGAAACCGTCCGAAGGCGTAAGTATGAAAAGTGGATGTGATGATTGAAAAGTGGATTGGACTTGTTATAGAACCTGCTTTGGGTTTCCAAGTTGTGCGTTCCGCGATTTTGGTTGTAGAAACAAGTGTGGCCTAACCCTGATGGCCCCAGCACTGGCAACAAAAAGCCAACGATTGGAGTTCACCCTTGGGTGGTTTGATTCAAATCAACTTTTGGAAAGCCAATAGTTGACGCATTGAGCGAATCGCCTGAAAGACTGAGTTCAAGCCCAGGAATTGGGTTGCCTTTTGTAAGGTTCCCTGCATCGCCCGCCAAACATCAGGAAGCTCACGTTGAATTGGTATGTTGAAACCCCCCCTTCAAGAGAAGTATAGGGACCTCCTTTTTTTTGGGGGGGTTTGGGCGGGGACCCACCAGTGTTCAAGGGGCCCTGGGTTTCTCATAAGGCAAGAGAAGGAGACCGTCGTCCAGTCCTGCCGCGCCCACAGCAAGCAAGCGGGGTGATCCCGAGTCCGGATCCCGCTACCTTGGACAAAATCCTGCAGTTGCAATGGGTGAAACACGTGGGATGACATGGATGAACCACCCACCGATATTCTTTGGAGATCTGTGCGAAGGCAAAAGTGGGCGCCGTCTTGTTGGGTTTTTGTGGACTTTGAAGAATTAAGCGGATCCCTACAACTCTCTCTTTTTTCTCGCTCCAAGGCCTGGCCGGGGTGGAGGCCGCTCAGGCCCAAATGGCCCAGATGCGGGCTGAGCTGGAGATGCTGAAGCAGGCGCCCAAGGACGGGGCCCCGGTTCAGCTGCATGTTGCCGACTTTTGTAGGGGTGCCTTCTTTTCAGGAAACCATCAAACACCCAGGGGAAACGGCCGGTTTTTGAAAAGAACAATGGTTGAAAAGAATGGGGAATCAACCCCTGGAACTCTTGTGAGACTCTCCAGGATGAAGCTGAACCCTCTGTGGCGGACGAGGATTGATCCGCTTCGGGGTGCGGTTGTGGAACAGTTGGTTTAGGAGGCCCGTGCCTCCCGAGTGAGTTGCACGTGAGATGGACGGTGAATGCCAAGTTGCAGATGGCAGGAAGAAGTCAGCTGGCGACAGATGAAGCTGCTTGAGTGCCGCAACTTACGGCCTGCAGCTGAGCGGTGATGGTCGCAACCCTGCAGCGCGTTCCCGCTGCAGGCATGAGCTGTCCAAGTGGAGGCACCAAGCCGTGGCCTTCAGTTTACGCTTTGCAGAAGAGTCCATGCAGACATGAAACCCGAGGTTGCCACGTTAGAGGCCAAACGGCCACAAGATGAGGCTGAGGCCGCTGGTTTTGCAAGCGAGGCCGCCGCTTGCTCCCGGAAAGAGTTGACAGGTTGCCCGGCTCAAAGTCGAGGTGATGCACGCCCAGGACTGCCCAGTGCAGCATCGAAGCATTGCATGCGCAGCTAGCGAGACATGCGGTTTTCCAATGCGCTCGTGGCTAGGACGTCCTGGAATCCACTAGGCATGCTGTTCGACATCTAGAGGCCCAGCTCACCATGGGAAGCGATTCTATGTTGGCAGCGACACCTTGCTGCGCCCAGGTGGAGCAGTCAATGGGTGAAGTGCCCGACGAGGCCAAGTCCTCGCATCCAAAACATGCGAGCATCCGACTACTTTGTATTCTGCCGGCCGCTTGCGTTTGGCAGGCATCACTCTTGTTGTCGTATGTGTGTGTGTTTTTTTTTTTTAAGGGTGACTGCTTTAACTGGAGGCCAGATGCCGCCCATCCATCTTGAAGTTCCCAGTTCCCCCATTAAGACCCCCAATAGGGTCTTGCCCGGGGCGCTTCAGGATTGCCAGATGGGCGCGCCGACTCACAGCATCGAGGCTGGGATATCTATGCTGCCCTAGCCTGACATATTAGGGCAAATTGTATCCGGTTTTGGAATTTTGCCAGGGAGTGACATGACTTTTGATAAGAGAAAGCCAGACATTGAATGACGCGCCTCCAGCGCCTTGAGCTACCTGGACTGTGTTTCTGCTGGCTTCGGAGAGGGTGGGGTTCATGGAGCCAGACCCTAGACTCCATCGACCTGTCCCGTTCGATTCATTTTTGGCTTGCGATGTGCTGATTGGCTGCTTGCGCTTTGTGCTGCTTGATGTTTCGCAGAGAGCACTGCATTGCTGGCTGGTGGTTGTGCCATGACTTTACCCCGTGCAATTGGCACAAGTGCTGAGTAAACCCGGCTGCGAACTGTGGCCGTGGTGCAGGTGGTTGCTGAGAGGCACGTGCGCGAAAGAGCAGAGGACTGGGGGGATGGCCTATGCCCGCGATGAGGAAAAAACGTCGTCGTGTTAGCCTTGGGGGACGCCTTGTAGCACTCCCCCCCCATTGACAAAGACCCCCCCAAAAGAGAACATGTTCATCGTTCTCAGCCGCTTGCGCTTCCATGAGCATGTGGTGGGGAATCTACGTTGTAACCCCGGCCTGGATGCATAGCTCAATACATGCGTAGGGCTTTGCAACACAAGGCAGGCAGCATGTCGACTGCGGATTGATAGCCTTAAGGATTAGTAGAGGGGTGTCCCCCTCAACCCCCCCAAAAAAAACACTCTAAACTGGACTACCGTAGAAATCAAAAAGGGGGGTTATCCTGGGTTCTCATCACAGGCTGTTGCGTTGAAAGCGCGACGACACGCAGCGACCGGGCACATTGCGGAGGCGATGCCAAGATTTTTGGTCATTCAAAGAATGCTAGTGGTGGATTGGTGGTTTGGATTGGTGGGTTGGAAAGGGATTTAGGGGAAGCCGCTCCGTTTTTTCAGGGAATCCGTTAGTGATCCTTGGGTTGGAAGGGGGATTCCGCCAGCGTTGCTGTGACGTGACACCTGACATCGCAAAGTTGGGGTAGGAGCGCGGGAGCCACCTGGCGCAGAAAGCCAAGCGCCTGGGGCAAGTGATCCTGGCGCAGAAGCTGCGGCGGCCTCACGAAAAGGATCTCGAAGCCAAATCCATGTGGCTGTGGTTGACCAAAACCTGCGGTCCATATCCTGGTGGTTTAATTTTAACCCATACCCATGTGAGAGCGATGCACCAGGTTGATTCAGCGCTTGGAAAAGCAGATCATCACTGAGGAGTCGTGGCCGCCTGAGACTGGGATACGGAGATACGGGGATACTTTCGAGATGCGGCTCGAAGGTTCAATGGTGGGCACAGGGTGACCCCTGGAATTCCCTTTGTGGTTCCTTTTTCCCTTTTATGGGGAAGACTAGATGAATGGAATTGGGGACCCCCCCTCCTGAAGGTAGGGGGGATGGGGGAAATTCAGCGCCTCTCGCGAGGCTGCTGGAGCAGAAGGAGATGCAACTGGCAGGTGAGGAGAAGCTGCACATCCGACTGAAGGCCAGCGCCTATGCCCGGTGAAGCCGCTAATGAGATGCTTACGAGCATAAAGAGATGAATTCCACAAGGGCAAAGAGCCTTTGTTGGAGCTTGGATGAGGGGGTCACATGCACTTGATGTCCTTGCGCTTTGCCAGGTGGCTCTGAGACAACGATCCGACGAAATCGTCGTGCGCTGCTGGCGAAGATTAAGCTGGGACAGGCACTTGGCCGTCACTGAGGTTGATCAAATCCTGGGCAAGCTCTCACTTCGGAAGGAGAAGGCCTGCAGTTTTGGTGGTGACACGGCCAGCTATTCCCCAGCAGGTCAAGAGAGCGGACGACACGCCCAAGTCGGATTCCAGGCAGGCTAAGGCTATAAGCACTACGAGATGGCTCACTCTGAGCCTGCGGCGCGCGGAGGAACTGTCGTGGCAACTTTCGGGCGCAATCGCAATGCCAGGCCTGAGTGAGATGAGGCGCTCGCTCTTGTTTCACGTGAGCTTCGGTCAACAAAAGAAAGTTGTAGTCTGTGGTCCTTTCTTTTGGGGGCGGGTGGTACCCACCTTTCCTTCAATCAGGTTCGCAAATCTCAGGTCCACGGGAACCGCGCTTGACCGGGCACATCCGTTTGTTGCTTTTGACGTTTCACAATTGCCAATCTACCCGAAACTCGGCTGGTTCAACGTTCTTCAGCATGCTGGTTGCCCAATTCAATAACTTTGGCGCAATTGACAAGCCCCTTTGAATTGCGCAGCGGCTCCTTATGACATCAGATCTAAATCACACTAATTACTCACACGGAGTCCTTTGCGAGACTTGTTTCACTCCTTTGGCTTGCTCAGCGTTCAGCGTCTCGCTCATGCTGAAAACGGACAGCGATGCTTCGGAGTGCTTCCAGCTGGCTCATTTTTCCACAACCTCCCTTGTTCGGGCGTGGGAAGTGTGTGACCCGAATCCCCGAATGCTGAGGCTGCGAGACGGCAGCAGGAAGTTCTCCGGGAAGAAGTGACAGAGGCCACTCTTCACATGCCATGAGAAGACTTGTGCATGACCTGGGCACGAAATCCGTAGGAAGCCTAAGGGACCTTAGCCAAACTCATGCTGAGATACTGGGTGACAAGCGAAGCCGCAAGTGTGTGACAGTTGGCTGCCTGGCGGTTCCCCGCCTCACTGCGGGAAAAGGCGCGGCCCTGAAACCGGCACCGCAACTGTGACGCGGTTCGCGTCAGCGTTGTAGGCAGATGAGCTTTCAGAGGCGCGGGAGGTCCTAGACCCCCAAAAAAGGGAGTGAATCAATCCTACCTAGCTTTGGTGGACATTCCATGGGGTTTATGTCCACCCACCATTTTGGGCAGCTGGAAATAATTAGCCAAATCTCTTGGCAGGTGAGACTTTACCAGAACGAGCTTGGGGAGGCACCGAGAAAAGATGAATCCGGCACTCGTGTAAATCTTTATTGAGGGTACCCTTTTCATCTTGGCTTACAAGGAATCACACGTTTTTGGGCGTCCTATCTTGACACCCTGCGCCGCAGTTCCGCATCAAATTGGCTGTGACTTTCCGGGAGCAGAGCAGATCTGTCTCGCAAACAGTCATATAGAGTTACAACGTACTTCAGTTTGGTACTTCTAATCGGTTTAACAAAGAACTCTGAACGTGTTGTTTATAGGTGTGTGAAAGTCATGCTCATGCCGCTACGTTCATGTGCAAGTCTTTACCATCCACTGCGTGCGACTAGCATGCAACCGGAGTGCAACTCGCTTGCAACCCGCGCGACTTGAGCTGTTAGGCCCGTGAAGCGCTGCTTAAGATGCAGAGTGACTTCGAGGTGCGAATGTTCGAAGTGTGTGCGATCCAGTGTGCATGGGCGGGCTTGGGCGGGTCTGGGCGGGCCTGGGGATGAAGACTTGGTCGGGAGGCACGAGAAGCCTCCATGAGGGAAGGTGAGTGCAGTGTCCGCACCTCAGTTAAGATGTGCTCCTTAAATCCTTAGATGCTCAGGGAGCCACGCATGCACGCTCAAGAAACTGGTCGGGTCAGTATGTTCAGTCAAGAGGAACTCAGAGCAGCAAAATGAAAGAAGCAACATAGTAAAGAGTTGTGAAGGCACTGGCAATGACCTGAGCTGGTTCCCCTTGCTCAGCACGGCAAGGAGCAGGGGCCGTTCTAAAACTGATTCCTGATTAGTATCCATGCGCATTGCAGTCAAGGCTCCTGCACACCTGTGAGCAGTGAGAAACTTCATTCTTCATTGGGCTTATGGCATTGTCCTGCTCCCGTAGAGAATGCACAAGGCGTCAACCAAAGCTATGAACACGGAGCTGGCATAGCATTGATGCAGCTTCTCCACATGTGCGGCCAGACATGCAATTGGCCTCTTTCAACGCCAAGCTTGCAATATTTGCGCAGAACCGTTTTGCCGGCCAAAAGGAAAGCCGAAGGAGCTGCTTTCAACTTTGTAAGTCAGCCATGCTGCGGAACTGCCTCCATTGCCGAAGTGGTTCATCTGGATGTCCACTCGACTGGATGTGTTATGACTGGCACATTGGTGAAAGATGCAGGTGGCTTACAGACGTAAATCAGGCTTTGCTGCCAATAGCGGTGAATTCCCGAGCCACTCTTGAAAGGAATAGCAGGGCTCTCCATATTTCACTTGAGCTGTTAGGCCCGTGAGGCGCTGATGAAGATGCAGAGTGACTTCGAGGTGCGAATGTTCGAAGTGCGATCTCGTGCGCATGGGCGGGCCTGGGAATGAAGCCTTGGTCGGGAGGCACGAGAAGCCTCCATGAGGGAAGGCGAGTGCAGCGTCCGCACCTCAGTAAGATGTGCTCCTTAGATCCTTGGATGCTCAGGGAGTGCTACAGGGCCACACATACACGCTCCAGAAGCAAAGGGACAAGCAGAGGGACAGATGGCTGACGCAAATTCGTCGGGCCAGTATCTTCAGTCAAGAGGAACTCGGAGCGGGAAAAGGAAAGAAGACACAGAATAAAGAGTTGTGAAGGCACTGGCAATGACCTGAGCTGGTTCCCCTTGCTCAGCACGGCAAGGAGCAGGGGCCATTCTAAAACTGATTCCTGAGTAGTATCCATGCGCATTGCAGTCAAGGCTCCTGCACACCTGTGAGCAGCGAGAAACTTCATTCTTCATTGGGCTTATGGCATTGTCCTGCTCCCGTAGAGAATGCACAAGGCGTCAAACAAAGCTATGAACACGGAGCTGGCATAGCATTGATGCAGCTTCTCCACATGTGCGGCCAGACATGCAATCGGCCTCTTTCAACGCCAAGCTTGCAATATTTGCGCAGAACCGTTTTGCCGGCCAAAAGGAAAGCCGAAGGAGCTGCTTTCAACTTTGTAAGTCGGCCATGCTGCGGAACTGCCTCCATTGCCGAAGTGGTTCATCTGGATGTCCACTCGACTGGATGTGTTATGACTGGCACATTGGTGAAAGATGCAGGTGGCTTACAGACGTAAATCAGGCTTTGCTGCCAATAGCGGTGAATTCCCGGGCCACTCTTGAAAGGAATAGCAGGGCTCTCCATATTTCACTTGAGCTGTTAGGCCCGTGAGGCGCTGATGAAGATGCAGAGTGACTTCGAGGTGCGAATGTTCGAAGTGCGATCTCGTGCGCATGGGCGGGCCTGGGCGGGCCTGGAAATGAAGCCTTGGTCGGGAGGCACGAGAAGCCTCCATGAGGGAAGGCGAGTGCAGCGTCCGCACCTCAGTAAGATGTGCTCCTTAGATCCTTGGATGCTCAGGGAGTGCTACAGGGCCACACATACACGCTCCAGAAGCAAAGGGACAAGCAGAGGGACAGATGGCTGACGCAAATTCGTCGGGCCAGTATGTTCAGTCAAGAGGAACTCGGAGCGGGAAAAGGAAAGAAGACACAGAATAAAGAGTTGTGAAGGCACTGGCGATGACCTGAGCTGGTTCCCCTTGCTCAGCACGGCAAGGAGCAGGGGCCATTCTAAAACTGATTCCTGAGTAGTATCCATGCGCATTGCAGTCAAGGCTCCTGCACACCTGTGAGCAGCGAGAAACTTCATTCTTCATTAGGCTTATGGCATTGTCCTGCTCCCGTAGAGAATGCACAAGGCGTCAAACAAAGCTATGAACACGGAGCTGGCATAGCATTGATGCAGCTTCTCCACATGTGCGGCCAGACATGCAATTGGCCTCTTTCAACGCCAAGCTTGCAATATTTGCGCAGAACCGTTTTGCCGGCCAAAAGGAAATCCGAAGGAGCTGCTTTCAACTTTGTAAGTCAGCCATGCTGCGGAACTGCCTCCATTGCCGAAGTGGTTCATCTGGATGTCCACTCGACTGGATGTGTTATGACTGGCACATTGGTGAAAGATGCAGGTGGCTTACAGACGTAAATCAGGCTTTGCTGCCAATAGCGGTGAATTCCCGAGCCACTCTTGAAAGGAATAGCAGGGCTCTCCATATTTCACTTGAGCTGTTAGGCCCGTGAGGCGCTGATGAAGATGCAGAGTGACTTCGAGGTGCGAATGTTCGAAGTGCGATCTCGTGCGCATGGGCGGGCCTGGGCGGGCCTGGGAATGAAGCCTTGGTCGGGAGGCACGAGAAGCCTCCATGAGGGAAGGCGAGTGCAGCGTCCGCACCTCAGGAAGATGTGCTCCTTAGATCCTTGGATGCTCAGGGAGTGCTACAGGGCCACACATACACGCTCCAGAAGCAAAGGGACAAGCAGAGGGACAGATGGCTGACGCAAATTCGTCGGGCCAGTATGTTCAGTCAAGAGGAACTCGGAGCGGGAAAAGGAAAGAAGACACAGAACAAAGAGTTGTGAAGGCACTGGCGATGACCTGAGCTGGTTCCCCTTGCTCAGCACGGCAAGGAGCAGGGGCCGCTCTAAAACTGATTCCTGATTAGTATCCATGCGCATTGCAGTCAAGGCTCCTGCACACCTGTGAGCAGCGAGAAACTTCATTCTTCATTAGGCTTATGGCATTGTCCTGCTCCCGTAGAGAATGCACAAGGCGTCAAACAAAGCTATGAACACGGAGCTGGCATAGCATGATGCAGCTTCTCCACATGTGCGGCCAGACATGCAATTGGCCTCTTTCAACGCCAAGCTTGCAATATTTGCGCAGAACCGGTTTGCCGGCCAAAAGGAAAGCCGAAGGAGCTGCTTTCAACTTTGTAAGTCAGCCATGCTGCGGAACTGCCTCCATTGCCGAAGTGGTTCATCTGGATGTCCACTCGACTGGATGTGTTATGACTGGCACATTGGTGAAAGATGCAGGTGGCTTACAGACGTAAATCAGGCTTTGCTGCCAATAGCGGTGAATTCCCGAGCCACTCTTGAAAGGAATAGCAGGGCTCTCCATATTTCACTTGAGCTGTTAGGCCCGTGAGGCGCTGATGAAGATGCAGAGTGACTTCGAGGTGCGAATGTTCGAAGTGCGATCTCGTGCGCATGGGCGGGCCTGGGCGGGCCTGGGAATGAAGCCTTGGTCGGGAGGCACGAGAAGCCTCCATGAGGGAAGGCGAGTGCAGCGTCCGCACCTCAGTAAGATGTGCTCCTTAGATCCTTGGATGCTCAGGGAGTGCTACAGGGCCACACATTCACGCTTCAGAAATGCAGGAACAAGCAGAGAGACGTATGTGTTGTGAATGCTCTGGCGATGACCTGAGCTGGTTCCCCTTGCCCAGCACGACAAGGAGCAGGGGCCGTTCTGAAACTGATGTCTGAGCCAAAAGTTACGAGCCATGCGCATTGCAGTCAAGGCTCCTGCACACCTGTGACAGCGAGAAACTTCATTCTTCATTGGGCTTATGGCATTGTTCTGCGACTGTAGAAATGCACAAGGCATCAGACAAAGCTATGAAAACGGAGCTGGCACTGTTGCGTCAAAGCGACCAGTGCCTGCCAAGGAGCTGCTTTCAACTTGTAAGCTGCTGACTGCCCAAAGTTGTTCGACTCATGGGAGCTGCCTACCATTGGCTGCCAATAGCTGTGAAGTCCCGAGCTATGTGCGGGTCACTACTTGAGCTGTTAGGCACGAGAAGCCTCCATGAGGGAAGGTGAGTGCAGCGTCCGCACCTCAGTTAAGATGTGCTCCTTGAGTCCTTAGATTCTCAGGGAGTGCTACAGGGCCACACATGCACGCTCCAGAAACAAAGGAACACCCAGAAAGATGGCTGACCCAGATTGGTCGGGTCAGTATGTTCATGAATGGGCTCTGTTTTCGGAGCCAGGTCTGCAAACCTGGAGCGAAAGCAGGGGATAAGATCAATGGCCTGAGCTGGGCCCATGACACGTTCAGGAGCTGCCACCAATGTGGTACAAGCATGGAGCGGACAGCCTACAGGCTGTTATCGACACTCAAACTGTAGAGTACTACACGGAAATAAGGTGTCACAATCCGGTGCAGAGACAGGTTGATTGTTCACTTCGGTAGCTGATACGGGTGCAGATTGCGCCAACAAAAATCAGACGATGCAGTGTAATATCCAAGAGTTCCTGAGGTTTCAGAGAACGCCTGCGCCACGTGCCTATGAGGGCGAAGTGCGCCTTTTTGATCGGGGATGATCCGCTTGGGTTTTCCTTGCACTGAGGCAGAGTGCGTAGTGTTGCGTGGCGGCCTCACTTGGAAGTTGCATTCTGTTGACTGCAATTCTGGTGGCGAAGAGTCTCAAGGTGAAAAACTACGAGGAGCGCAAGATGAAGCTCGCAAGGTGCGGGCAGCATCCGAAAGCAATTGTGATATTGGCGCGGAACTGTGCATGGCGTCGTTGGCGCGTTTTTGGCAGGAGCATAGCCCAAATTACGATTGCCCAGTTTAGTAGATTGGGGTTGTAGTCTAGCCTAGAAAAACGCCTTCCTACCGTGAACCAGAAGTGAATGGACTTTGGGTATACGCCTTTCCAGCCATCTTAGACCAGAAGTCAATGAGTGTCGTGCTCGGCAAGGGAAGCCACTGTTGAATGAGTTGGGCGTGTCTAAAACGTGGGAACCCAAGAATGGACCTGCGGTTTCCCTTAGACATCAGAAGAGCCTGCTCAAATGCACCCTTAAAATGACAGGCCAGCGCGAGAGCTGCCGCTGCCTCGAAAGCCTGGGGCAGATGAGGAGCTCGCAGCGAACTCGAGTCGCTCAAGTTGCGAGCTCCGAGTTTTCTCGGCTTTGCGGAGCGTTTGGTTTTGGGTCGTTTGGCGAGGAATTTTCATGGGGAACCCCCTGCAAAGTCTGCATAGTGGTTGGTGGACATAAATCCCCGCCGATTTATGATGTTCACCAAAGGGCCCCGAATAAAAAATGATTCCCATTTCTTTCATGGCCAGGAGATGCAAGCTGGGCTCACCGCATTTTGAGAGGGTGACATGGTCCGCTTCACGTGTGATCTCCGTGACTCAAAGCCCGAGTGCATGAATATGTGGAAGTGTTGTTTTCCGGCCAAAACGGAATATCGCAGACCGCGCACGCATGCCGCATGCTGCCGCATGCTGCCGCATGCAGCTTTAGCTACGGCTGAGTCTGAAGCCTTGAAGCCAGCCGACTGCGGATTTCGGATTCGCAGAAAAGGGGCAGGCCCAACGAAGACGACGAAGCCTCTTGGGTGTGGCTTTTCGTTCGGCAAAGGCTCGCGGGACCCATGCCAGGCGAGAGGCGGAAGTGAGCCATTTGCACAGAATCGTGGGTGACACTTAGTGCGCCTGCACTTTTCGGCCAAAGGACTGGCTCCATCTTGCCAAATGCTCGCGAGATTTTCTGGAGGGGCGCTTTGGCAACGCTCGGCGCTGAAACCCCCCCAGGGCCCGAGGGTGACGATCCCCTGGTCAGGTCAATTGAAAAGAGCCCGAAGAAAGAACATCGAACAGCTGCTTCAAATTCCACGGGGGAGCCAAAAAAAAACAACGACCACTTGGCAGCTGCTTTTGGGAAGTCTGGTCCGACCCTGTGCCACAGTGCTGTCATTGGACAGCCCCGCTCTTTCAAGGGCGATCCGCAGAAATCATCAGAAATCGCTTATTTTGCAGTGCAGAAAGATGGGCCGCACTTCCTTTGGATGCATGCCGCAGGTTTCACGTGCCCGCTTCGGGGTATCGGGGTATCCTTGGGGGTGTTTCAAGGGGAAGCCGAATGACACGTAGCAATTAGAGAAAGCATCCAGGCTTGTCTTTACGGCCAGCCAAAGGGAAATTATCCGTTTGTGGTTTTCTCATTTGGAGACAAAGTGGTGTCTTGTTCGGAGTTGTTTGGAGATAGTCCTTTTGGCGGTGGCTTGAAAGGAAAAGTGGGTGCCGAACATTCTTGGGGGGTCCGTATTTGGAAGCAAAGCTCCTTGTTGGTTTCAGATTCCCAACGTAGTCACCGAACCCTTTTCTGCTTCGCCCTTCTAGAGATCGTCATGGATTTCGGGCAACCATTGCCTTGGGGAATGCATCGCAAGAGCGAAATGGGTGTGTCTTTTTTGGGGGGGACCAAGAGAAATTTGGCACCCTCAAGACAGCACAACCCCGACTGGAGCATATGAAGGAAAGCCCAATGCCCATGGCATTCCAAACGCCTGAACGACGGCTGGTGTCCGGTTTGTTCGCCCAAAGGAGAACCACGTGAGTTAAAGTGGTTTCACACAATTCGGAGCCAAAGGCTTGTTGTTTGGTCTACGAAGGACGCCAACTGAAGACTCATGGGGGTCTTCCCCATCCACCTAGATCGCCAGGCATACCTGCTGCTCTTCTCACACCAGGGTTGGTTGGCTCCTGTTTAAACATGTTCGAACAAATTTTGACAGGCCAACGTCCACTTTGTCATTCACTCAGGTGCCTCAACTTGGTTTGGAGTTATTGGAGGTTTTAACCCACGACCCCCCACCCAACCCCCACCAATAGCCCCAGACCCCTCTTGAGGGAAGCTGCTCGGATTTCTTCCGCAGCGATGGCTGAGCGGAGCCTTTTGGTACAGCTTCTGCTGGAGGAGCGCCGCAAGCGCTTGGACTTCAGCCCGCGGCACCTCTCCTTCTCCCGGCATCAGGCCGGCCCCAAACGGGCCATCGCCGCGGGCAGCGATTGGGGGGCGGTGCCGTGTGGGTGTGTGTGTGTGTGTTTTTTGCTGCCCCTTGTTTTTGGTGGTTTTAAAGGGAACCCCAAAGGGTTTCGCCACCATTTTTGGGTGTCCCCAAAAACAGACGCGCTCGTGTACGAGTTTTGGTTTCATTTCTTGGTGTACCGGACATGCGTCTGAAGTGACATGAACTAACATACGGCGGCATGAGCTTCGCTTTGAGCTTGTTTTCGTGCATCGGTTATGTCGTTGCAGTCAACCACTTCTCAAGTCTGCATGCAGTGAATCTTACACCCGCCCACTCACAATTCCTGGTTGGGCGCATATCCATGTTTCCACAGGAAACACCTCTTATATTCGTTATATTCGCCTCGGCCCCCAGGGCCGGGAAGCGATCAGATCCCTTGTTGGATTATGGGACGGGCCAGTAGCTTGACCGGCAAGCACAGCCAATGTGTGGGAAGGCTTCGCGTAGCAAAAGGAGTCGGAGACACCCGAAAGCCCCCTGCTAGTGCCCGTTGGCCAGGACTCTGAGCGCACCATTTCCGCGCCGAGCCGCAAACTCAAGTCGTTGCCAGCTAAGCGGGCGCGGATTCAATCGCCCTAGGTACCTTTGAGCGGCCGGATGAGGCAAGGGGACTTCGTCTTTTGCCCCCAAAACTGTGAAAGAGATAAGCCGTTTTGCCTCTGAGCTTTGAGTTTAATTAGAGCCCCCAAAAGCAGGTGGGCACCCAGGTGGGTCGGAAAAAGACTGGGTCGATTCAGGCAACTGGGCTGACCGCCGAAAAGTACGGGATTCTGGTTCCTTTTCAAAACAGCAATGCTTGACAAGCATGGGATGCACGAAGACTCCCTGTTCGGCACAGGCTTGCAGGCATTGCGGAGGGGACGTGCTGCTCGACTCCGCCTTCTGTCGGCATTGTGGCCAGCAGCAAGAACGGCCGGAGGCGTGACACTTCGGCAGAATTCTTGCTTGCACCGCCCCCGTGAGGTTCTTGCCTTTGACAGCGAGGCCAGTCGAGCAAGCAAAGGCGCGGGGACGGCCCGAGAAAGCTCAAGGTCGATTTGAATTCTTGGCATTTTGTCAGGCCAAGCAACTCCCCGTGGCCGTACCCTCAAGCAGCTTCGTTTGGAGCGGCTCTTGTCTTCAACCGAGGCTTCCAAGAAAGAGTCCGCGAGTGGTCACAACAGCACCAAATGTCGCTCCGAAAGCAGGACCTGGCACGGCGAAAGCAGGACCGGGCAAAAAGGTGAACGTACTTTAACGTTGGAAGCATCAAAAAACAAAAACAATAACAAAACAAGCAAATTAAATCTCGACCCATTGAAAAGTGTCAGGAGGCGCGGCTCAAAGAGCAGTGCACCTTCCAGCCGGCCATCAACGGCAAGTTGGGACCTTCAGCTCCAAACGCCCAGCGCCGCGAAGCGCCGCGTCTTGGGATTCGAGACTCGCGAGGTCGGAGCTCTTCGCGCGGAGGGCGCGCGGCTGCTACGCGGAGGCGCTGCCCCAGAGGCTCTACAACGATGCCCAGAGGAGGCGCTTTGTGGCGCGAAATCTGGTGGTTGTCAAAACTGTTTTTGGATCCCAGGTGTTGGTCTTTCTTTCCCTTTGCCTCCACTTACCTACTTTGGTGAGCTGTGGCACTACTAACAGGTTATGCACACAACAAAACATTACATAACTTTTGGCAAGCCATTAAGGCTTTTAGATAAAGCATGTAAAAAATAGCAAGTGTCTAGCTAAGTGTTTATCTTGGGTTGATTTATAGGCGCAGAACCACAAAATGAAATGCTTATTTTGGAAAGTTGCTTGCTTCAGCTGCGCGGTTTTGCAACCACATATGTCTTGCAATCAGGCGGTGAAGACACAATGGCAACCAAATGTACGAAAATTGTCAGTTGAACATTGACCAAACTTTCTTCAGACATATGCACAACGCAACCATGCTTCCAAGCAGTATGCGCGCAAAGCTCCTTTTTGGCCGGGAGCTCAAGACCTGAAGTGCAGAGGAAGCAAAGTGACCACTCTTGGTGCTGGACCATGTCACTGGACACATGATGTCATTGGCTGTCACAACTATGGTGTTCTTCTCAATGGGCAGCTCTTGCCATTTTGCAAAAGTTCCACCATTCTCCAGCAATGCAAACTTGTGCAGGCAAGCACGCACATCCTCAGGGGACAGCTGGAAACAACATAGCAGTTTGCCACACCCAAGGCCTGATGCTGAAGATACAAGCACCAAGTCACCTTTGCTGGCACTACCTCCAGTAGCCAAGCAAATGGTTTTGCTCTTGAAAATGTTGCTGTTCAAGGCATTTGGGAACATACTAGTGACATACTCCTTGAAAGCTGCAGGGGCTTTGCCTTCCTGCTCCAAATGCGGCTTGCCTTTGAAAACAACACTGCTTCCACGCTGAAGCCTCCAAAGCTGCTTAGACAAAAGTTCTTCTAGGCATGTCCTTGGGTAGGCTTGCATGTTGGTGATGCCAACTCCCACTTTGGTGACCTGCTTGTGCTTCCTTTCCATGCAAAAGCATGGAATGAGGATTTTGTGCACAGCCAAGGAATCACCCATGTGCAAAAGCCAGTGGAATTTCTTGATCAAATATTTTCCCCAGCCATTAGCTTTGAACTTGTGTAGAACTGCCTCAGCTGCCCTGTCCAAATCATTTGGAGCCACAACTCCATGGGGCAGCGACAACAGTAATTCCACAAAGAAGGCAACAGCCATAAAAGCATCAACAGCACCAAGGCAAGAAGAGGCATGTTTGCCAATAGTGAGCGCATAGTGCTGTACAACTGGAAATAAGCAGAGCATTTCACTGGCCATGCATTTATTTTTTTTGCTCTGCTTGTAGGATTCAATCCTTTTGGAATAGAACAGATGGCCCAAGCTGGAGCAAACCTGCCTGCTAGCAGCTGGCAATTGCCACAGCTTTGCATAGCTTTCAAAATTGGACCATGTTTTCAGTTCCTGGTTCAAAGCATCCATTAACAAAAAGCAAGCAATGTTCAAGCAGCCATTGTGGCAAAGGCAATGCATCCAGTCATGCATGTATGCAGTGAGTGGCGTCACCACAGACCTCAAAGGCACTGAAGATAGTAGGCTGTGGGCAGAATATGTAAAGCCTTGGGCTTGTTGCCACCTTTCAAACTCAATCTTGTTGCAGGACCCAAACCTTTCTGCCAGCCTGTCCCAGGATTTGTAGAAGTCTTCATCACTAGTCAGAACCAAGTCTTCCTTCTTGAGCCACATGCAAACGCCTCCTTCAAAGTCTTCATCGTCATTGAATGAGCTGTCAATATGTGCAATGGAGTAGACATTGCTGCACTTAGCACAAAATTTGGAACCACAGTCGCCCTTTACGCACAGGCAATATTTTTGAGAAGCGCCATCCTGCACCATAATGCCAAATGCAAAGTGGAGTCTGCAGTGGCCTCCTGAATGGCTTTGCAAAAGCAAGCCCACATCTTGGGGGCTGGCCACCCCACTAGCAAAGATGTGCTCCTGGGTGCTGGCACAAAACTGCAAATAGGAACAGGCCCAGCGTCAAAGTAGCAGACCCACCTGTTAGCGTGGAAGCAAAAAAGTGCTCATGCACACAAGTTGCCAAAAGCACCTTCACCACTTGGCTCATGTTCCCTGACAAAGCACCAATAACAGTAGATGGCTGGAACAAAACAGGTAGCCATGCATCTTCTTTTGACAGATTTTGCTGCTCAAACTCTTTGAAGCTGACATAAGTGCACCAGCTCTTCTTGGCAGCCTTGGCACTCAAAGGGTTGCCAGGCCAACACTCATCTGAATAGAGAACCAGGTGCCATGGGTGGCTTGGAGAGCTGGGCGTCTTCAATAAAGTCTCATCCACCAAATCCTTGAAGAAGCCACCCTGCTTGTAGCAGCCATGTAGCAAAGAGTGCAAATTGCAATGCAGCAATTGGTGAACAGCGCCGTCCACACCAGTGACATTACTGGACACCAGCAGTGGGCCATAGGCATTCCAAGTTGCCAGCTGCTGCTGAGTGGCTTGTTTCATGGCTTTGCTGCTAGTCAGCTCTGGCTTGCCATGCTCAGCTATATCCTCCAGAATAGCCTGCAAGGCTGACTTTGACACATAGCTGGCTGAATTCCTGCAACCCAGGAGCCTTTGCAGCTTGGCAGGCCTCGTGGAAGAGGAAGAAGCGCAGCTTTTCTGGTTCATGGCAAATTGTGGGAAGGAAATCGCAAACCCTCCACTGCCCCAAAACATGCTTCTTCTTAAGGATGGCCCCCTATGCAGTGACGTGCTGAAAAGCTTGTCAAGACCCATCAACAGCATTGCCCCAATGCAGCCAATTGCCAAAAGCACTGTGCGGGCATGTGCGCTTTGTAGAATGCCTGCTTGGAGCCCTCCACTGCAGGTACAAGCTTGTGGTTTGCAGCCAAGAATGCACATGCCAATCACCACAAATGACTGCAAGGCTTGTGGCTTCAATGTGTCAACCTGGCAGCCCTTGTTGGGGGGCTGTCTCATAACAGGTGCCCATGCAACCCTTTGTTGATATCTCCATGTTGGCCACTCTGCCAATGCGACCCTTTGCTAAAGGCTTCCCATGATTGACTTGGCCGTGGGCACGCAAGCCTTTGCGGCTCTCCCACGCAAGCCTTTTGCTGAGGCTTCTCCATGGTTGCCTTTGCTATGTTTTTGTTGGAGGCTTCTTCATGGTTGCCTGGCCATGTCTATGCAAGCCTGTACTGAGGTCTTCCCCATGACGGCCCATGCAAGCCTCTCCTGAGGCTTCTCCATGGTGGGGCTTCTCCATTGTTGCTCTTGCCATGCACGTGCAAGCCTGTGTTGGGGGCTTCCCCATGGTTGCCCACGCAAGCCTGCAAGCCTTTGCGGCTTCCCCACGCAAGCCTTTGCTGAGGCTTCTCCATGGTTTCTCCATGGTTACCTTGCCATGCCCAAGCCTTTGTTGGGGGCCTCTTTGGTGTGCCAATGCAAGCTTTTGTTGCAGGCTTCCCATGGTTGACTTGACCATGCCCACGCAAGCCTTTTGCTGAGGCTTCTCCACGGTTGCCTTTGCTATGTTTTTGTTGGAGGCTTCTTCATGGTTGCCTGGCCATGTCTATGCAAGCCTGTACTGAGGTCTTCCCCATGACGGCCCATGCAAGCCTCTGCTGGGGCCTCTCCATGGTGGGGCGTCTCCATTGTTGCTCTTGCCATGCACATGCAAGCCTGTTGGGGGCTTCCCCATGGTTGCCCACGCAAGCCTTTGTGGCTTCCCCACGCAAGCCTTTGCTTCTCCATGGTTGCCTTGTGGCTGCCATGCCCACGCAAGCCTGTGTTTGGGGGCTTCCCCATGATGGCACATGCAAGGTATGGCTTGTCGCATGCCAAGCCTGCATGTAGCTACACCATGCATGTGAGCGCCAAGTTGCAAGAACGCTTTTTGCTTCCAAGCTCTAGGGCTACAGCTTGCAGTGCGGCTTTTCCAACAGGTGGCCCACCCTTCAGCAATTTGCGCAGCAAGATGTCAGTCTTGGGCTGCCAAGCAGCCCACCTTGCCCATTGCCTAGCAAAAAAGCTTCAGCGCGCCAGGCTTGTTTTCAACCCAGCAGGATGTCTTCTCACTGAGTGCCTGGCAACTGAACAAGCCATGCCACTGTACAGCTTGGTACACATGCATAGCAGAATGCTCACATTCAGCATATGTACTTGGCCCAGGTGACCCCGTGATGCTTGGCACCATCTTAGCCAATCACTTCTTGCCCGCTGATTTCTTCTTCGTGTAGGCCTTGTACTCAGCCTTGCTGTAGAACTTCTTCCCATCATACCCTGGCTTGGAGCATGTGCCACAGCCAGCCATAGAGGCCCTGCACCTGGTGCACCCCCAGCCCTGCAATTTCCCTGTTGGTTGTTTTCCTTTCTTTGTTTGTGGCCCTGCCACTTTTGCTTTGGAATGCTGGGTTTTGCTTGCAGCCTTAGCCTGTGCTCGCGCCTTTCCTCTAGCTGCTGCAGGCTTCTTCATGCAAGGGGCCCTCTGGGATTTTGCCCTGGCTTGCAAAGCATCAAAAGCTGCATTCTCAAAGGAATCCAAATCATTGTGTGCAGGCCCTTGCCTGTCACTGCTGCCCTGCTGGGGCATGGCCTCATCCTTTGGGCTTTCTTCCTGCTCTTGCTTGCCAGGCAAAGGCAAAGCAGGCGCAGGCTGATTCTGTGAAGGTGCAGGCAAAGCAAGCCTTTGCTGGTTGCTGCATGGTGTGCCCAAAGATTCTTTGGAAGGCAAAGCAAGCTTGTGTTGGTTGCAGCATGGTTTGCCCAAAGACTCTGCTGTCATTGTCAATGCTCTATTGGGGCTAGGGGCCTGCTGCTTGGCTCCAGGAGAGTATGTGATCTTTGGGTTGTTCTTGAAGCTCTCCATGAAGCAGCTCAGCATATTCAGCACCATGTCATGTGGGCTGGCCTGTGGTGCTGCTGCCTGGTGCTTTGAAGGCGCTGATGGCTGCGACACAGGACCTGAGGCTATGCCACCCTGCAAGAGCTTGCTAGTGC